CACACATGATGATGGGAATGCCCTTGTGTGGGTGACCCAGAAGCCCTTCTCAGCGCTTTAGGGACATTTTAATAACCTGAGTAATTGCCTTTGATAGGCATGCTTTGCTTTCTGCTCATTAATTACTCTCCAGGCTAGACTTTATTCCTCTTACCACTAATTCAGATACAGAGGTACATAAAATGGATGCTGCCCGCCGATTGCTACACCACTGTCTGCATATCAGTGCTCTCCTACCTGCTTGGGCATGAGGAGGAGAGGAGAACAGAAAGGGTTTGACAAGTAACCCGGGATAGCTGAATTTGTTTTAAAAGCCACATTCTGGGGCCACCTGGGTGGCTCAGTCGTTAAGCGTCTGCCTTCGGCTCAGGTCATCGAGCCCCGCATCGGGCTCCCTGCTCCGCGGGAAGCCTGCTTCTCCCTCTCCCCCTCCCCCTGCTTGTGTTCCCTCTCTCGCTGTGTCTCTCTCTCTCAAATAAATCAAATCTTTAAAAAATAAAAGCCACATTCTGGTACAGAAACCAGAATTTTGACACAGGCAGGCATACCTCACTTTATTGGACTTCCCTTTCTTGGGCTTGGCAGGTACTTCATTTTTCACAAACTAAAGGCTTGTGGTAACCCTGCATCAAGCAAATCCATTTGGCGCCATTTTCCCAACAGCATTTGCTCACTTTGTGTCTCTCTGTCACATTTTGCTAATTCTGGAATATTTCAAATCTCTTCATTACTCTTATATTTGTTACGGTGATCTGTGATCAGTGAGCTTTGATGTTATCATTGTAATTGTTTGGGGGCCCCGCGATCCATAGAAGATGGCAGATGTAATTGATAAATGTTGTGTGCGTTCTGGCTGCTCTTCCGACTGGCTGTTTGCCCATCTTGCTCCCTCTCCTCAGGCCTCCCTATTCTGAGACACAGCAAAATTGAAATCAGGCCAATTAATAACCCTACGGTGGCCTGTAAGTGTTCAAGTGAAAGGAAGAGTCATGGGTCTCTTACTTTAAATCAAAAGCTAGAAATGATTAAGCTTAGTGAGGGAGGTATGTTGAAAGCTCGGCCTCTGGCACCAGTTTGCCAAGTTGTGAATGCAAAGAAAACTGTTGAAGGAAATTAAAAGGGCTCCTCCAGTGAACACATGAATGATAAGAGAGCAAAACAGCCTTCTTGCTGATCTAGAGAAAGTTGCAGTGGTCTAGACAGAAGACAAACCAGCCACAGTATACATCCCCTTAGGCCAAAGCCTAATGCAGAGCAAGGCCCTAACTCTCTTGAATTCTGTGAAGGCTGAGCGAGGTGAGGAAGCTGTAGAGGCAAAGTTGGAAACCGGCAGAAGTTGATTCGTGAAGTTTAAGAAAAGAAGCTGGCTCCCTAATATAAGGTGAAGCAGCGTTATCCAGTTACTCAGATATCCAAGTTCTCCAGAAGATCTAGCTAAGATAATTCATGAAGATGACTACACTCCACACGACACATTTTCAGTGTAGATGGCACAGCCCTTTTTAGAAGAAGCAGCCATGTGGGACTTTAATAGCTAGAGAGGAGAAGCCAGTGCCTGGCTTCAAAGCTTCAAAGGACAGGCTCTCTTGTTAGGGGCTAATGCGGCCCCGGTGACTTTAAGTTGAAGCCAGTGCCCTTAAGGGTTATGCTAAATCGACTCTGCTTGTGCTCTGTAAATGAAACAGCAGAGCCTGGATGACAGCACATCTGTTCACAACCTAGTTTAGTGAGTATTTTAAACCCACTATTGAGACCTATTAGCTCAGGAAGAAACTTATGACTGCTCATTGGCAGTGCATCTGGTCACCCAAGAGCTTTGATGGAGGTGGACAGTGAGATTCATGTTGCCTTCATGCCTGCTAACACAACATCCACTCTGCAGCCCATGGATTAAGGAGTCGTTTTGACTTTCAAGTCTTATTATTTAAGAAATAGGTTTCATAGGGCTCTAGCTGCCACAGATAGTGATTCCTGTGATGGATCTGGGGACAGTAAATAGAAAACCACCTGGAAAGGATTCACCGTTCTAGAGGACATTAAGAACATGTGTGATTCATGGGAAAAGGTCAAAATACCAACACTCCCAGGAGTCTGGAAGAAGCTGAAATCATCCCTTGTGGATGACTTTGAGGGGTTCAAGACTTCAGGGGAGGAAGTGATTTCAAATGTGGTGGAAATAGCAAGAGAACTAGAATGAGAAGTGGAGCCTGAAGGTGTGACTGAATTGCTGTCATGCCATGATCAAAATTGAAAGGATGGGGAGTTTTTTCTTAATGGATGAGCAGAGAAAGTGGTTTTGTTTGTTTTTGTTTTTAAAGATTTATTTATTTGAGAGAGAGAGCACAAGTGGAAGGGACAGAGAGAGAGGGAGAGAGAATCTCAAGCAGACTCCACACTGAGCATAAAGCCTGATGTAGGGCTCGATCTCATGACCCTGAGATCACGACCTGAGCCCAAACCAAGAGTCGGACGCTTAACTGATGGAGCCACCCAGGTGCCTTGAGAAAGTGGTTTCTTGAGATGGAATCTACTCCTGGCAAAGACGTTGTGAAGACTGTTGAAATGACAGCCAAGGATCTAGAATATTCTGTAAACTTAGTTGATAATGCAGTAGCAGGGTTTGAGAGGATTGACTCTAATTTTGAAAGAAGTTGATCTGTGGGTAAAATGCCATCAAGCAGCATCTCATGCTACAGAGAGAGAGTTCGTGAGAGGAAGTGCCAATCTATGTGGCAAACTTCATTATTGTCTTATTTTAAGAAATTGCCACGGCTACCTCAACCTTCAGCAAGCACCACCCTGATTAGTCAGTAGCCATCAACATCAAGGCAAGACCCTCCACCAGCAAAAAAAAAAAAAAAATATATATATATATATGTTGAAAACTCAAATGATGGCTAGCATTTTATTTATTTAAGATTTTATTTATTTGACAGATGGATAGAGAGCACAAGTAGGCAGAGTGGCAGGCAGAGGGAGAGGGAGAAGCAGGCTCTCCTCTGAGCAGGGAGCCAGATGCGGGGCTTGATCCCAGGACCCCGGGATCATGACCTGAGCCGAAGGCAGCCGCTTAACCGACTGAGCCACCCAGGTGCCCCGATGGCTAGCATTTTATAGCAATAAAGTATTTTTTAAAATTAAGGTATTACATTGTTTTTTTAGACATGATGCTATTGCTCACTTAATTGACTACAGTATAGTGTAAACATAACTTTTATATGCACTCGGAAGCCAGAAAATTAATTTGACTTTATTGTAATATTCACTTTTTTGCAATAGTCTGAAACCGAACCCATGATATCTCTGGGGGTAGGCCTGAACAAATGATTGATATTTGTGCACACTTAGGGTTTTGGGAATGCCCTACTTTGCATTGCATGTCCTCTTTTCACCTTCTTGTGATACACAGACTGCCTTGGGTGCGCACTCAGGTACATATTTACTACTTTGAGTTCTTTTGCTCCCATGGCTTGTTTTTGGTCCTCAGGGCATTCTTGTTTGCAATCTGTGGAGTGTTTATAGCATCAGAATAACATCAGATCCCTAAATGGAATTTGGATTATTTACTTCCAAATGTGTCTCCCCAACAGTCCAAGGGCTGTGGAAGTAATACAGTGCAAAGGCACCTGATCTGATTTGAATAGAAATATATGTGGGTATGGTTTTAGAGCTGTGTGTTTATTAAAAAAAAGAAAACAATCTTCCTTCTTGATCCTTGGGGCTAGTTATCTTGCTTTTATTGCTATGATAATACACAAGAAAGAAACACCAAACAAGCTGAGACAGTTGAAAACGCCCACATCCAACTCAATTTATTTTGAGTCTATGTAGTTCTGTGGATTTGTTTGATGCACAGATGCTTTATAAAAAACAGGACAGGAGCTCTGGATTGCATTTTTTTTTTTTTTGGAAAGGTAGAACTTCTAGTTTAGAAGTAGAGATTCCTCTTCAGGGAATATGTAATTGTTTAATTAAGTTGATTAGCACGCTCCATTGTGTCTTGAAGCTATTCAGAGGACTGCGGGGGCATCTGTTGTGCCGGCATCGGGAGGCAGCTAGGTTGTTTCAGAAATAAGCTGCAAATGCCTTGACAACGGCAGTTTGACACAGCTCCATGTAGGCAGTGCCACGGTGCTGCTCGCGGATGCTTCATCTTGGCTTCATGTAGGTACATGAATGCTCTTCGGTTCGTCCAAGGTGTGTTTTGCGGGGAGGGGAGGAGGGGAGTTTTTATTGAGTCTTGCCTTTCCCTCCTCCGCCTCTCCTTCATCGTGACAGCTGTCATTTTCCACCTTCAAGCAATAGCATGAGTGATGTTATAAATCGCACATCATTTTCTGGGTGGGCTCATGTCTATGCTGACAGCCATTTTCTACACACGACCTCATTTCAATGGCCAGGACTCCGCATGTGTAAATGGACAAGTCTTCAGGCGATTTGGGTAGGCTTTGCAATCTCGCCTCTCCATTTCCTGTCTGAACCGCTCCTCCCATGTCCACAGCATGTTTATGCAACATCGCATAAAACTTCTAATGGGCAATTTCTTCCAGGTGACCTCCCTGAGAGGCTGGGCTGTGAAGAAATCTTAAGAAACCCGACCCTGATGAAATTGCCTCCTTTGAGAATATTGCTTGGTGCAGAAACAAGGAACAGAATTCAGTTATTTTTGGTTCTTGAATAAATGAATTCTGTTTCTTTTTATGTAGGTGGCGAAACCATTAACCCCTGCAGCAGGTCCGGTCTGAGTTGGAAACTGAACTTTTGGTTTCTCTGAATTAGGAGAGCTTGGGAAAAGAGAAGGTTAAAGTTTTTTTGTATTTGAACCTCAAGCAACTTGGACGCGGTTCTGCCGTCTGTATATCTTTTATAGATGTGTCTTTTCCAGGGTTGTCTGTCTTTACATTTGATTTTCCGTAGGCCAGGACTGTGGATATAGAATGACCTCTAAGTTGGCACCATGTGTGGGTGGATACTAATGAATCCTTTCTTAACCTTCCTAGCACTTTTGGAGAAATCCATCAGTAGAAGGCGGGACACTGAAGCCATACAGAAAGCCAAAATCCTTTATTCATCTTGCATGAATGAGAGTGAGTAATAAAGAAAATAACTAAAATATTTAACACCTTATCCTTCAGAGAGTCTATTAATGTTTAAAGATATTGTTTAAGGAAAACGAGAACTACTAAGAATTCGATTAATGTTTAAAAATGTTGTTTGAGGAAAGGAGCGATTCTCAAAGACTGAATCTTGACTCTCCCTGTCTTAATGTTCTGTTGCTGGCTTGATGGAGAAAATAGGAAAATAATTTTATTTCTTTGGCTTGGATTCTTTAGATAGCAGTTACTCCGTGAGAAACTTGGGTAGGGTCAGGAGGGCAAACCCCACCATATGTGGTGCAGAAACAAGAATCCAGAGGCCCTGTCCGGTCTGAGAAGGAGCCTGGGAGAGAGGGCATTTGGGAGTGTTGTTATATCCCATAGAACCTTACCGGGGCCTAGGAAAATCCAGATTCCTGGGTGGGCCAGCCTCCTCCTGCTTCTCCATCAGCCTAACAGGCAGCTTAGGTGGATGTCTTAGGCCTGTCTTGGCATCTTGGGTCTGATTGGAGTTAAGGTTAACACTTGCCATTTTCTCTGGTGTGCTTTCTCAAGACAGGAAGAAGCCAGTGCCTGCGGGAAGTGTGTTACCTTGTTTAGGATTTGGGGTATTATTTGGTGAGCTAGAAGAGGGCGGTAAAAGATGACCAAAGAGTCTGGAAGCATTAATTCACGTGTATTGGGGAGTGGTTGGCTTTACTGAATGGTTTCCTTTACTTAGGATTGTTCCTTAGTCTTGCAGAGTATTCTCAGCCTAATATCGCTCATTGGGCTGTAGTGAGCCCATCTTTTCTTGTCGAGAATATTCAGCAGCTTCCCTAGTCAGCTCTCCTGGCAAGAACACCAAGTTCAGACAGTCACACTGAAGTGTGAGTCATAGGTAGTTCTGTCTCTGTGGTCCTGCTCAATCCACTGCACCTCTCTCTAACAGCTGAAATGTTAAGTTGGGGTCTTAAGGGGAATTTTCTCTTGAGAAGATATACTTGCATTCTAGTTTGGTGATCCAGTTTGCAATTCTAACTCTTCCTTTGTATTTGCTCCCTTTCAGAAGCGATTGAAAAAGCAGATGCCAAACCATTGCTACATATCCTGCGGCACTCACCTTTCCGCTGGCCTGTGCTTGAATCCAATATTGGTCCTGAAGGAGTTTGGTCAGAGAGGAGGTTCAGTCTTTTGCATACCCTTGCAACATTTCGTGGTCAATACAGCAATTCTGTGTTCATCCGATTGTATGTGTCCCCTGATGACAAGGTGTCCAACGAGCACATTTTGAAGGTATAGTGAGGACTTGTTCATACTGTTTGTTCAGTCCAAGGTTAGTCTTTTGGGGTGTCTTTCCGGGGAAAGAGACTCATCCTACCTTAGCGAAATCAGAGGATAAAAATTCTGTTAAGCATTGGGATCTAGAATATTCCTTCCTCCCAGATTTGCAGAGTGTAACTCAGGAACAAACCAATTTTGTCAGTCTTTCAGGAAGCTGGTGAGTGAGTTTCAAGTCATCTCTGATCTGGCCCTCAAATACCTACTCTGAGCATGTGTGGGGTCCCTAAATTCCAGTGGGGAGCAAGCTGCTAAGACTTTCTGAACTCTGCTCTTCCCTACACCTCCCATTCTCCTGACAAAGGAACAACAGTGAAAGACTCATCAGTGAAACAGCTTGGCAAGGATTCAAATAACATTTTTTTTTTTTTAAAGATTTTATTTATTTATTTGACAGAGACATAGCGAGAGAGGGAACACAAGCAGGGGGAGCTGGAGAGGGAGAAGCAGGTTTCCCGCAGAGCAGGGGGCCCGATGCGGGACTCGATCCCAGGACTCTGGGATCATGACCCGAGCCAAAGGCAGACGCCCAACGACTGAGCCACCCAGGCGCCCCTCAAATAACATTTCTTAAATTGTTTTGTGTTTTGATCCTACTGTATTTTTTGCTTCCACACTTTTTAAAGATTTTTTAAAATTTATTTATTTGAGAGAGAGAATGAGCAAGAGAGAGCAAGAGTGAGGGGAAGGGGCAGAGGCAGAGGGAGAAGCAGACATCGCGCTGAGCAGGGAGCCCTATGTGGGGCTCGATCCCGGGACTCCAGGATCATGACCTGATCCGAAGGCAAACGCTCAACTGACTGAGCCACCCGGTTACTTTGACTAATAATGAAGATTTTACTGAATCACTGATTTTTTTTCTCCCAATTCCTTCCTTTGTCATACCAGCAAATATTAGTGATATATTGATGATCAAATCATAGAAGTATAAAACCTTTAGAACATATTACCCTTTTCTGCTGTAAGTCAACTTTTAAAAAGCCACACCATGCAGTTTATTTTTTGGTTTATACCAAGAGGGTGGCATTTTTTTTTTTTTTTCTGTAAAGGACCAGATAGGAACTATTGTAGGCTCTGCGGGCCATCTGGTCTCTGTCTCACCTACTCAACTCTGCTCTTGGACCTGGGAGAGCAGCTGCAGACAGTCTCTCCATGGATGGGTGTGATTGTGTAGCGGGCTGACTGGTAGGCTGTAGTTCGCTCAGCTATAGTCTAGACAATGGAAGTCTCAGGAAATCGCTAGGCACTCGAAGAATACCCATCTACTCAGGAGGAAATTCTTGGTTCCAGAGACAGCTGTATTTTCTTTTTTTTTTTTTAAAGATTTTATTTATTTATTTGACAGAGAGAGAGATAGCGAGAGCAGGAACACAAGCAGGGGGAATGGGAGAGGGAGAAGCAGGCTTCCCGTCGAGCAGGGAGCCCGATGTGGGACTCGATCCCAGGACCCTGGGATCATGACCCGAGCCGAAGGCAGACGCTTAACGACTGAGCCACCCAGGCGCCCGAGACAGCTGTATTTTCATGCTGGGTGAAGGAACAAGAACATGGCACGGAGGTAGACCCTAATGCTATCCGGTAAGACGTGTTATACAAGACACAGTGATGCTGCCTAAGGGTCCAGTTGATCTCTGCCTCATGCTGATAGGTTACTCACTTTAAAAACCAACAAACCAGATTTTTAAAAAGATTTTATTTATTTGAGAGAGAGTGAGAGAGAGAGCGCACGAATGGGGGTGGGGAGAGGGGCAGAGGGAGAGGGAGAAAAGCAGACTCCCCGCTGAGCAGGGAGCCTGACATGGGGGCTCGATCCCAGGACCCCGAGATCATGACCTGAGCTGAAATCAAGAGTCAGATGCTTAAGCGACTGAGCCACCTAGGCGCCCCAAGGCTATCATTCTTAATTCCAGAACTATTATTACATCCTTTCAAACACCTTAAGTGGTATTTTGAAGTTAGATGGAGACTTTCAAACTTAAGCTTAAGTTTATGCACTCTGTTGGGTGATAGAAGATCTTTTTTTTTTTTTTTCAAGGATTATTTATTTTAGAGAGAGAGTGCAGGTGGGAGCGCACACACAAGTGCAGAGCGGCGGGGTGGGGGGGGAGAGGTGGAGCGGGGAGGGACAGCGGGAGAGGGAGAGAGAGAATCTCAAGCCATCTCAAGCCGACTCCCCGCTGAGTACAGAGACTGATGCGGGGCTCGATCTCATGACCCTGAGATCATGACCTGAGCCCAAATCAAGAGTCTGACGCTCAACCAACTGAGCCACCCAGGCTCCAGTGGGTGATAGAAGATCTTGATTCACACACAGATAAGTAGTTGCAGATGGCAACCATTTTATTTTTCACCGATTTCTGGACCTACTCTAAGAATTATCTCCTTAAATATTTTATTGTGGAAAATAATACAAAAGTAAAAAAAATAGTACAACAAAATCCCATGTACTCATCAGCCCAGCTTCAACAACTGGCAACTTTTGGCTGTTCTTGTTTTATCTAAACCCTTCCTTTTTGTGGGGAAGCTGGAGCATTTTATAGCAAATCCAAAATATAATATCATTGCCTTGGTAAATCAATGTTTATCTAATGGAAAGGACTGTTATCACAGCCAAAAAAGTAACCATAATTCCATAATTAACATCTGACACCTAGTTAATTTTCAGTTTCCCTGAGTGTCTCAAACATGTCCTTTTAAAAAATTAAAAGTTGGTCTTTGATTTAGGTTCCAAAAAGGAATCTCATGTGCATTTGGATGATAAGCCAATATTAATCTACAACATTGTGAATTTGACTGATTTCAGTGCAACCTAATAGTTGATGAGAGAAAAATCTTGTTTATAGGAGAATCACAGCTTAAAAAATGTAGGAGAAAGAATAGCATTAAAAAGTTACCATTTAGGGGCACCTGGGTGGCTCAGTCGGTTAAGTGTCTGCCTTCGGCTCAGATTACGGTCCCAGGGTCCTGAGATTAAGCCCCGCATGGGGCTCCCTGCTCAGTGGGGAGCCTGCTTCTCCCTCTGCCTCTTCCCCCTCCACCACCCATGCTTGTGCTCTCTGGCTCTCTCAAATGAATAAAGTGTTTTTTAAAAAGTTACCATTTAAAAATATTTCTAATGAGCTAAAGGACCAAGGCAGCTACCATCCATAGTTGCTAAAACCATTAGGTAAATGGTTGATGGGGGAAACTCATGATAGAGAGATCATACTGACATCAAAAGAACCCACATGTCAGTGGTAGCCTTGTTCAAAGCGGGGCAACCAGATTTTATATACCTTCTGCTACCAGGCAGTGAGAAGTATACACTGTCACCAATGATGTCTTGCCAAAAGAAAAGAAAAAAAAAATGAACTTAGATGTTTACAGGAAACATGGGGAATAGAGGAACATGGTAACCAGTTTTTAACAGCTTGCCTTGCATACTTAATATTCAATTAAACGGATCCTGGAAACACTGGACTGTCAGCTATAGAATAGTCTCCAGATACAAGGAGGCGCTCACGGACTTCCTGCTGCTGTGCTTTGCCAGCACATGGTGACTTGTTCCAAACTCATGTGTTGGAGCATGGCTTGGGACGGGAGTACAGCACAGGTTTGCTTTATTTTTTTTTTTAATGATTTTATTTACGTATTTGAGAGAGAGAGAGAGCATGAGCGGGGAGGGGCAGAGAGAGAGGGAGAAGCAGGCTCCCCGCTGAGCAGGGAGCCCAATGTGGGGCTCAATTCCTGGACTTCAGGATCATGACCTGAGCCGAAGGCAGACGCTTAACTGACTGAGCCACCCAGGCGCCCCACAGGTTTTTATTTCTAGTTACGTCTCTGTACCATTTTATGTGAATGAATAGTCACACAGCTGAATTAACAAAATAGAGCTTCAGTCTTCATAATTGTGACATGGTTAGAAGTTCAAGCTTGTGTCTAGATATGGTAGGAGAAGCTTTCTTCTGAGATCTGCATAAAACCCAATGAACCTGACAACAAGAATTAGCAAATTGGTCACTGCCGATGTTGTAGAATTTGTGAACTTTGCTTTTATTAGAAATAGTTAAAACCGTACAGAATTTGATTAAATATTTCAAGCCTTGGAGCACTTTTTTTTTTTTTAAAGATTTTATTTATTTATTTGACAGAGAGACAGCGAGAGAGGGAACACAAGCAGGGGGAGTGGGAGAGGGAGAAGCAGGCTTCCCGCCGAGCAGGGAGCCCGATGTGGGACTCGATCCCAGGACCCTGGGATCATGACCTGAGCTGAAGGCAGATGCTTAATGACTGAGCCACCCAGGTGCCCCTTGGAGCACCTTTTAACTTTCGTGGAACATAGTTTGAAAACCACTAAGGTGTTAGAAAAAAGAATAGGTTTTCGTGTTAAAGAGACTGAGGTTCATGGTTTGGCTTTGTGTTTGACTCAGTGAATATCCGTGTGCAAATTGTTTCACCTGTCTGTGTCTCATTTTCCCCATGTATACTGACGGGTGGATTAGAATGTACTTTTCACTGTTGCTGTGCAGTTTAAATGAGATGAATGTGGTGACAGTTTGCAGGATAGATACTGGGACACGGTAGCACAAGACAAGAGGTGCCCTTCTCTTAAAGCATGACAAGGCAACTGGTCAGAACCATTTGGAGAACCACTTGACTCTCTTCGATTTTGGTACCCAACATACCTCTCGGATCTCAAGTTCACTTGTGCTAAAAATAGGCAATTTCAGTTAGTCTCACATTCGTCTGAGCTCCCATGCCACCTTGTAGTGGGAAACCCAACCAGTGTAGGCATTTCCCCACCTTCTGGTTGCCCCATTTCTTAGTCTTCTCCTGGGATAGTGGGAGATTCTCCACTCATCAACTAGGTGTTTCTGAGAAGAAACCCCTTCTCTCAGCCCTTGTGGACCTTTCAGGTGTACTTTTCTGCTACTGGGGACCTGGGTCTCCCACTCCCTCTGCCATCCTGCTGTTTC